CCAATCCAGTTCCCTGATAATGTGTCTGGGAAAGCAGTGGACAATGGCCAAGACCCTGAGAGACCCAGATGCAACTCCTGGTTCTGGTCTAGGCCATTTTAGCCATTTCAAGAGTAAACCCAACAGAGGAAGATTCTCCATCTTTCAAGCAAATAAAATTAGATCTTCTTTTTTTACTCAGACTTGGGAACATTCAGGTTTGGTTTTGTTTTTAAAGCTCATTAACAACTTGCAGGCTCAATGCTTTCGTCATCAGTTACAGCAGGATAAACACTTCTTCATATCGTCACATGACAATCTAATGGGTAGTAAGAGATACAATTTTAATGTTTTGTTTTTGTTCTGCACATTAACATATTTCACTAGCTTTTGTTTTACTCAACGAATCTGTAACAATGTCAAAGCAAAAACCCAGAGCATGTTGGAAAGAATTAATTTTAGAAAGCCCTTAAGAAACTAGACTTGCATATCCACAATGGATAGCAAAACACAAGCTTTCAGATTTCCAGAAAGGGATGTTCAACATCCCTATAAAATCATCCAAAGAGCCAGCAAAAGAAAAAGGGGACAATACACTGTGAAAACCCCATGAGAGGAACAGTTATGCAGCAAAAATTATGAACAAAAATTACAAAGAGCAAAGCTAGTATGGACTTTTATGCAGTGATTCCTAAAACACACTACTTTGCAGCTGTTTTCCAGAAAGATCTTCCTGTTCAGCAAAGAGGAGACCGTGGGCCGAGAGCCCCCAGCAGCATCACCTGTCCTCCAGACAGTTTCCGTCTAACGCAGGGCCCCCAACAGCCAGGCCTTGACCCTCAGCACTCAAAGCAGGTTCAGACTTCAGTAAGAGGCTGTTCAAGTCTGAGGCTCTCTCCACCTAATACTGTTCCTGACCTTGACTTGTCACAAGGATTAGCCTCCCAAAGGACACCTGCTCTCCTAATTCCATCCCAGCGTCCTTTAAGCTTTCATGTAAAGAAGGAGAAATTAGAATACAGCGACTTAGGACAGCACAATGGCTCAACTGCCTAATCCTTCATCTCCAAGCACAGACATTCCACATGGGCACCAATTTATGTCCCGGCAGCTCCACTTCCCATCCAACTCCCTGCTTGTGGCCTGGAAAAGCAACAGAGGACGGCCCACAGCCTTGGGATCCTGCACCAATGTGGAGACCCGGAAGAGGCTCCTAGTTTCACATTAGCTCAGCCCCAGCCGTTATAGCCATCTAGGGAGTGAACCAACAGATGGAAAATCTTTTTGTCTGTCTCTCCTCTATGTAAATATGCCTTTCCAGTAAAAATAAATCTTTAAAAATCTCGTAAAAAGATTTAGCCAGCGAGAGGATGGACCTAGGCCTTCTGTAATCAAGAGGCTATGATCAGAGGAAAATGAAACAAACATGGGTTCTGATGGTCTTGCAAGGCTGATGTAAAAAAATCTGGGTCTTTAGGAAGCTTCAAAATTAGCTATAATACTCTTTACAATATATGCCAAATCCTAAAGCTACTCTAACAAATGAAAACCAGAAACCATGGAAATATTAAGCAATTTCCCATGCTAGTCAGGTACTTAAGAGACAAGAGTTAAAGATCTATAAGAGAAAAGGGTTTTGTAGAGAAAGCCAGACTGACAAAGCCAGCACAGCAAACCAAGGGGGACCGAGCCTGGCCATAGGGGAACCGTCTCTGGCTCTAGCCTAATCACCAGGAGCTGCTGCCCGACCTGACCTCTGCGGGTATGATCAAATTGTGATTAGGTCCTCTTGGACCCTGTCTGCAATGGCAACTGTCCTTAAAAATACACGAGAGAGAGATATGGCCTGAGAGACAAAGAGGGGAATAAAGCAGCCACAAGCTCACTTGCTGAGGACTGCCAACAGGACTGCAAGTGACCCCAGAAGCACGCAAGGGGAGGAGGCAATGAGCAGTGATGACAACTCATGTCTGAGTTAATACAACAAACTGTTCACCAAAACCAGGAGCACCTCAAGGCAAGGTAATAATGACGAAAAATGAAAAGCATTTTAAAATGTGATCTACGTAGTAACCACTAAAGAGAACAGTACAATAGTATTAAATATATTTTAAACAGAAGGAAAATTGAATAGAAGGCAAGGAGATAAAATAAGCAAAACCTTATGATATCAATGAGAAAATGCCGGTAGGTCGGTATTTTATAAACCCAATTGTGCCAGTAACTGCCTCACTGCAACTGAAGACAAAGCGTCTTTGCAAGGAACGCCTCTTCTACATGAGAAGTTAGGGAGCAGGCTCGGCACCAGGCTGGGGGTGCAGCCAGCAGCTAAGGTGGCAGTCAAGACGCTCACATCTGCACTGGAGTGTCAGCACCACACCCAGCTGCCCAGGGATGCGGACCCTGGCAGGCAGCGGGACTGTGCCAGCCTGCTCCTGTGGGAGATGCGGATCAAAGGCCCAACCCCGGCTCTCACATCTGGGAAGGAAATCCATGGATCAGAGCTACCCAACCATTCATCTGTCTCTCAAATAAATAAATAAATAAATTTCTTATTATGTATTTTTATTGCAAAGTCAGATATACAGAGAGGAAGATCTTCAGTCTGATGATTCACTCCCCTAGTGGCCACAACAGCCGGTGTTGTGCAGATCCGAATCCAGGAGCCAGGAACTTCCTCCAGGTCTCCCACACGGGTGCAGGGTCCCAAGGCTTTAGGCCATCCTTGACTGCTTTCCCAGGCCACAAGAAGGGAGCTGGATGGGAAGTGGAGCTGCCAGGACATGAACTGGTGCTCATATGGGATCCCGGCACGTGCAAGGCGAGGATTTTAACCACTAGGCTAGCATGCCGGGCCCTCAAATAAATTTTTAAAAATTCAAACTCTAGGGCCCGACGCGGTGGCGCAGTGGTTAAGGTCCTCACCTTGCACGCCCGGGATCCCATGTGGGCGCCGGTTCTAATCCCGGCAGCCCCTCTTCCCATCCAGCTCCCTGCCTGTGGCCTGGGAAAGCAGTCGAGGATGGTCCAAAGCTTTGGGACCCTGCACCCGCGTGGGAGACCCGGAAGAAGTTCCTGGCTCCTGGCTTCGGACCGGCATAGCATCAGCCGTTGCGCTCACTTGGGGAGTGAATCATCGGACGGAAGATCTTCCTCTGTGTCTCTCCTCTCTGTATATCCGCCTTTCCAATAAAAACAAAAAAAAAAATCTTTAAAACAAAAAAATTTCAAACTCTAAAACCAAAACAGTACGCAAACATGAAGAACTTGTGTTTAAATTGTTTTTTTAATTAATGTAATATTAACACAAGAAAATATACGGAAGTGCTTTGCTCCAAGTCTCTTGACAAACGCGGACTCAACCAACTGGAGCCCTCAGGGCAAGCCTGACTCAGCCCATTTTAGGCTTTATTTCAACACGTTACCCTGTGGATCCAACAAGGCAGAGCTGAGCACATGTTTGCCCCGCACGCGACAGCAGCTGTAACCCAGCCCTCCGCAGTGTGTTCTAAGCAGAGCCCAGGAAAACACACACTCGCAGACTGCTGACTAGCGCCCAGCGATCACGCAAGCGATCACGCAGGCTCTGCTTTCTGGCTCCTGGCTTTCTGGCTCCTCCTGGGCTCTAGATTCACTCAGGACCATCTTCAGCTATCTCACATTTTGTCTAAATTTTAAAAACAGCAGGTCTCATCACTAAATCACCGTTTATCAGTTAGTTCTGAAGCGAACACCTTCTCTTCCAGTTGCTCTACTCAGCTCCTCGAGAACTCTTCATTCTCGAACAGCCGAACTCGGCTGCTTTCCCGCTTTCCTTACGTCACAGTCTGTGCCTCCGTTTCTGTGGATTCATCTGAACTTTGTCCAAATGTTTTTCATTCAGGCTCCAGTGGGTTCACTTTTACCCCCGGGTCTTGTGACATGGTTCCCACCCGACGGTTGCGCCTGCAGTCTGTCACAGCTGCTGCTCCCTCGCCAAAGGCCAGCTTGCCCTGTTTGAGGATGACTCTGCAGGCTAGCAGGCAGAATTTCATGCAATCTAGGTTGAGGATCTGCACTTGGTGCTGCCGGGGGCTTCAGGATTCACGCAGCCTAGGAACTACTTCCTAACGAGAGGCCCTCCACTTCTGGCTCCCTGGGAAGTGCAAGTCATAGAACTAGAGCTCCAAACACCCCTGAATAGTCACACACTCCTAGGAAAGACTCCCCCGTCAGGAGCCCGAGCAGACACACATGTCCTTGTGGGAAGTGAATGGGCAGCTGAACCGCCCTCTTCTTTGGCAGTACCACCCTCTAGGGGCACAAGCCCAGCTTTACAAGCTTCACTTTCAGTCCAGATATAAGCCGTTAAAACCCACAGACCCTAAAACTCTCCAGAACAAACACAACATTAGCTCAATGGCCAAGTGTGCTAAATTTCTCATCATTTTCTTATTCAGCCCCACAAAGTTTCTCCTGCAAGTTCAATTACACATGTGTAAGATGTATTACTCCGTTTTTTAAAGTTGCATGGCACCAAAGTTTTAGTGTAATCTCTTTACCGTATCACCAAAACCCACAATTCAATTTTAACATAACAAGTGATCATTATTTGCGTGAAGTCTGTCTTTGACCAATCAGCTAACTGATTCCATCAAGGATGAAGAATGTGGTCTGAGTCCACTGAGGGTGAGGAACGTGGCTGAGGCCTGCGTTCCGCATTTAGAATTCCCTCCTTGGCCTTGTGTGGAGGGTGAAGTGACTTGGAACAAACCCTAGGAGCCAGCCCCACTGCGCTTCCCAGCAGCGTGGGCAGTAAGGCTGCTGCCTGCAGACGGCAAGGGGAGGCGGGGGCCTGTGAGCAGCACAGCCACACCCAGGTGTGCTGCTGACCCCAGGAGGGAGCCATCCTGCTGCTCTTCCTCCCCACACTCACCTGAGCCACCGTAACCTGGCCTGTCTTTTGGAAGCATTCTTAGGTGATGATGAACTATTCCAAGTGCTCAAAGGTCAGTAGTGAAAACAAGGTTTTACTTGCTTACCTGGATAACCAATTCCTTTGGCATTTGCATAGGGAACCCCAGAAGATCCAGGGCTATAAACAGGATTCATGATTTCAAGTACTGGAAGAGAAAGAAAAGTGATTTAGTCACTTGCTTTGTTCTTAGACTGTCCTGCAGCAACAGCCTCAGAAGCACAGGGAGCAGGACTCCTCCCGGCAGCCCACGCGCACTTCATGCCGCCCCAGCCAGCAGCAACACGGGGGTGCAGTGTCCCTACGGTACCAAACTCCATCCTCTTCAGTCCATCAGAAGCTAGCGGTGAACACTCCACAAATAACCTAAACATCCTTGTAACAGAAGGGTAAGTGTAAAAACCAAAATATATCCAGAGCACGAGGTACTGCCTGGCTTCTTTTTTACATGTGTGTAAAACCCTAAGAATGGGAGGGAGACTATAACACAGTGATTTAATCACGCAGCTCCTTTCTTAACATCACAAGAATGGGACGCACGCTGTAGAGCAGTGTATTAACCTGCCACCTGGGACGCCAGCATCTCAGTTTGCAGCTAATGTACCTGGAAAACAGGACATGTTGGCTGAAATGCTACAGCCCCTGCCACCCACGTGGGCATGCAGCAAATGCATCAGCAGTTGGAACATCTCTCTCTCCTGTCACTCTTATTTTTTAAAAACACAAACATTTTTAAAACCATATAAACAAAGCAACAGTAAGTGAAAAAGTAGGGTATGGAGCCCCAGCACAATCGCTCAGTGGCTAAATCCTTGTCTTGCATGCACCAGGATCCTATGAAGGCACTGGTTCACGTCCCAGCTGCTCCATTGTCCATTCAGCTCCCTGCTAGGCTACCGCGCTGGGCCCGCCCCCTGTATTTTTAAGGGGCGAGTGCTCACTACCCTCACCGGACAAATTGCTCAATCCCAGATGTGGTTGGAAGGATTAAGGTGACCATTGAAACAAAAGCAGTCAAGCGTGGGGGCAGGGAACTTGTGGGAAGTCTATTTTCTGCTTGATTATGACGTGAACCTCAAACAGCTCTAAAAAATTATCTACTGGAAAAAAATTTAAAGACATAAAATGTGTACTTATCTACCTATTTAGTGTCCCCTTTCCTCACATCCTCAATGGGAAAGTACCCAGGTGAGCAGGGGACATGCACTCTGTCCAGGTCAGCACCAACGGCAACAGGCGGTGTTTGGACAGGAGCCTGCAGACTCTCCAGCACGGGAGGTATCAAGCCCCATCACAAGACAACACAGTCAAAGCCTTCCCGCTTCAGCACACTGGGCCAGCTGAGAAAGTGCACCAGCGCAGCAGGTCAGCACAGACTAACACAGGAGGCTCAGGCCCTGCAAACAAGCTCCAATCTGAAGGACCAACTGGCAGTGTGGGCGATTAGCTCACAGGTCGCCTGATCAACTGCTTAACATTTTTGTTGATTTTTAACAAAAGTCAGATGACGAACCTGATAACAGCTACAGTGACGTGTTAAGACTCCGTCACCTGCCAGAAGTGAGCTGAGCAAGGTGGCTGGTATGACATCAGCTGCCTCAGCTTTAGCTAACTTCCATTTGCTAGACACAATGCTAGGGGGATACACCTTGGCTGGCTCGAGTACAGCCCCGAGCAGGGAGACAGGACAGGACAGCCAGCAAGCAGGAGAACCGACTGCTTCACGCTACAATCCAGGGATAAACAAACCGGCCACTGCCAATCTCTGCTCTGCACGGTGTAACCCATTCTTGGCAGATTACAACACAGGACCTGCAGAGGTAGGTATTTTCATCTACTTCTCCCGTTCAACTACTGTCCCTTGAGAAGCGAATGCTTTCCAAACGCTGTTTCTCTTTTCTGTGCCAAAACCTAATTTTACTTTCTCAGTTGAATTCAAAACAAGCAAAGCACTATGCAAAGGCCACAGAAAAACCAAAGAGTAAAATATCACAGTCCCTTTGGAAGCCTATGTGTGTGCTGTCCAAATACAGTAATTGAACGGCCATAGTGGATGACAGCTACTACACTAGACACGAGAGGCCTCAAGTTCTAAGACAAAAATCCACCAACAATGGGATTACAAGGACAGAATGATAAGAGTCATTAGAGCATAAGTATCCTAAGGGCTGAGCTGGGAGAGCAAGAATTCAATGAGGAAAGCGAGAAAGGGACGGGAAGAACACCATTACAAAGGGTAGCATTCCCAACCAGCAAGACGCGGGAAGATGCAGGATATACCACAGGAATAGAAGGCAAGCACGTTCTGCTGGGGCTGAAGCCACATGCAAGGACTCAGTGATCCATTACAGAAACAGACTGGGCTACAACCATCAAGCGAGGACCCTCAATTGTGGGCTGACACAGGGGCTGGTTTCTGGTAAGGCAACAAAGCTCCCAAACAGCCGAGCGGTTCAGGAAAGCTTTAGGTATATAACCAAGGGAGATTAAGACATGACTACACCAAAAACACCACGTAGGCTTTTATCACAGCATAATCCATCACAGTGTGAACTGCAAAAACCCAAATGGTGCACTCAACACCAACGGCTCTCCCTCCACCATGTCCTGACCTGGCATGTAACAACTTTACAGAACCCGATCTGAATTCCAAATACTTTTAACTTCAAACTACCCAGAACTTACATTTTCTGAAAGCCTTTTTTTTTTTTTAACCTTTCTAGGGGGTCAATGTTTCTTAAAGCTGTAATGAATTCAAAATTATGGGAGGACAGATTATAACAGAACTGAGGAAACAAAGTACAGTTCCCTCTTGAATTTGACAAAAGGGTTTGCTCTGCTGAAACCAAACCAGTAACATATCAGCCATGCTAAATGCCAAAACGCTCCTTAGGAGTTACTTGTTCAAATGATGAGAATTCTCCAAGAGCAGGAGCCCAAGGTGTGAACCATCTCCCCACAGCTCACACAGTTGCCTCATAAATGCTTTCTCAGTTGTTCCTGTGCAACTGACAAACTATCCAACAGAAACCATGGATAGGCCCAGCTCAATAGTCTAGTGGCTAAAGTTCTCACTTTGCATGAGTCAGAATCCCGTATGGGTGCTGGTTCTTACCCTGAACCTGGCTGCTCCACTTTCCTTCTAGCTCTCTGCCTGTGGCCTTGGAAAGCAGTAGAGGATGGCTGAAAGCAGTAGAGGATGGCCGAAAGCCTTGGGACCCTGGCTCCTGGCTTCAGATCAGCTCAGCTCTGGCCATTGTGGCCTCCTAGGGAGTGAACCAGCAGATGGAAACACTCCCTCTCTGTAAATCTGACTTTCCAACAAAAATAAATAAATCTTACAAAGGAGAGAAACAGAGGGAGGGAGGAAGGAAGGCAGCCAGCCAGCCAGCCAGCCAGACCGACCGACCGACCATGGGACTCTCCATTTACTTGAAAATACAATTCAGAATTATCAAAACATGCCTGTTTGATCAGTGGACTTGGATCCTGAGCCCGCTGATCTTGTTTTTATACAAACTTACCTTTCGAGAATTTTTAAAACATATTTATTTACTTGAAAGGCAGAATGAAGGGTACGTTCCATCCACTGGTTCACTCCTCCAATGCCATCGCAGCAGCCGGGGCTAAACCAGGCGCCCAGAACTTCCCTGGGGTCCCAGGAGGTGGGGCAGGCACTGGGGCCACAGTGCAGCAGTGCAGCAGCAGGAAGCTTGATGGCCTGGATCTGAAGTGTCACTCTGATACAGGATGTGGGTGACCCAGGCGGCACCTGACCCAGCTGTGCCAACGACACCTACCGACCTAAACGAAGAGGTACTCAACACCATGTACGTCCTTAGGAGACGTCAGGATGAATTTCTAGTGTCATAGAAGACAAGCTGCTACAAATAGCAAATGGAAGCAAGCCCTTCTGTCAAAGTGGACAGGGAACTGCAAACATTTTGCATCATCTATTGTTATATCCTGCCTACCCGGTTTACAAAAGACACAGAAGTTGGAGAAAGATACTGAATGGTACCATAAGGCAATCAGACAAATCCAAAAGTTGAGATGAACAGTGATTTTAACATGTCAACACTCTGAAAAAGGATGTGGCAGGGGAGGATGCATTCTCCCACAAAACAAACATAAAGGTCAATTCTATTTGGATTCTGATTTTGTTTGCAAAAACTAAAAAGATATTTTAAAAATATTTAGGACACAACAAAATAAATGCTGAGTCTCAGATGATACAAAATAAGTTTGTTAAATGTGATAACAGCATTGTGGTTATTACAGACATATATAGTAAGCATGTAAGGATGAAAACAACACGCCTGTAATTTAAAATATTTCCACAAAAAATGGGAAGCGTAATAAAAAGGTAATAATCTTTACATCAAGATGTCAGGTATAGGAATGTATTTTAATACTCATGGAATGAGTTAGTAAAGACAAAACCCAGGACCAGTGCTGCGGCTTAGCCAGTTAAACTGCCACCCCCAACGCAGACATCCGGTGTGAGCATCAGTCTGAGGCCCAGCTCACACTACTTCCATGTCTGCTCCCTGTTCACAGGCTGGGAACGCTGTGGAAGATGGTTCAAGTACCTGAGACCCTGCGCCTACAGGGAGACCCAGATGGACGTCCAGGCTCCCGGCTTCAGCCTTGCCCAGCTCTGGGGGATGCAGCCCTTGGGAACTGAACCAGCAGGTGCAATCTTTTTTATGAAGATTATTTATTTTTATTGAAAAGTCAGATATACAGAGAAGAGGAGAGACAGAGAGGAAGAGCTTCCTCCGATGATTCACTCCCCCACGTGGCCACAGCTGCACCAACCTGAAACCAGGAGCCAGGAGCTTCTTCCAGGTCTCCTATCGGGGTGCAGGAACCCAAGGCTTTGGGCCGTTTTCAACCGCCTTCCCAGGCCACAGACAGGGAACTGGATGGGAAGCGGGGCTGCCGGGATTAAAACTGGCACCTATATGGGATCCCGGCACATTGAAGGGGAGGAATTTAGCCACTAGGCTATCACACTGAGACCATAAACAAATCTTTTTAAAAACAAAGAAAAAAAAAAAAAACACCATCAGCAATCTGACTTGGATCCTCGTGCTACTGGACAACCAATGACCATCAATTTCCACTGAGCACGAATGCTAAAGCAGCATCTAGAAGTTTCCCATTCGAGGGACTGGGGTTGTGACATAAACGCAGCCAATGCCTGAGCCAACAGTACCAGGCACAGGTTTAAGTCACTGCACCACTTCCAGTCTAAGTCCTCCTTGCTAACATGCCCGGGAAAGTAGCACGTGGATGGCTCAAAAGCTTGGGCCCCTTGCACCCACATGGGACACCTAGAGAAACAGCCCAGCCCTAGCCGTCGAAGCCATTTGGGGAGCAAATCAGCAGATGGAAAATTTCTCCCTCCCAGTGTAACTCTGCCTTTCAAATTAATAAAAAGAAACCTTTTAAACACAAAAAGGGCTGACATCCGCATCACAAAAAAATGCAGATTCGCCTTTAAAGAGATGACAGCAAAAATCCTTAACTTGAAAATCCAGTAGTAATCAGAAAAGTGATTTTAATCTGGAAAAACTGAAAGACTCATCACTTTTGATTTCTAACATACTAATTACAGTATGCTAAAAGTCTAGTTGTCTTAATATTTCGTATCAACAAGCGTAATCTCAAGGGACCTGTATCCTACCCCTTTCAGAAGCACGCACACACACAGTACCCTTCAGTATGCTCGCAGGGAGACACTCTCAGCAGGAACTCATTACTCTAAACGGCATAATTAGATTTCAAAGATAAAGAGAACTAGATTCCTCCAACTGGTGTACGGCTGCTAAGACTAGCAGCCAGCCTGTTCCCTCTAAACCGCAGAACCTGTAAAAAGTGAAAACATTTTTTTTTAAAGCCCTTCAGATGTTTTTCCAGTTCTAATCCTCTACCCGTGGGGCATTACACAACTCTTCAGTTCGTTTGGAATTCAAGTAACTTTGCCATCAGAATTCCATCTAACCTTAAAATGAAACGGAGCTGAAAGCAGTGCTACAGCGAAACTTAACAAATTTGCCAGGACCTAAGGGGAGGGCACAGCCAGTGACGGCAGACGGGGTCTCGCATAGCCCCAATCCTCGAACCACTGCAGAAGAACCAGGAAGAACCGAGCAGTTACGCGCCTCTTCCCGCGGACACTTAGAACCCAGGAGCGCCAGCCGCCCCCCACTCCTCCAGCCAGCGCCACCAGCGAGTCCCTTAACTAGCTTCCTTAACTAGCTTCGGCACAATCTCAGCGAATGTTAACTCCTGTTAAAGCTTTCCTGCATGCCACACACACACTCTAAAATTTAACCCGAGCAACAAGGGCAAACGCTGTACCAAAGTCCGCAAAACGAAAACCAAGAGAAACGAAACTCTTCAAAAAAAAATTTCTGCCACAATAACTTCCCATTCAGGAACCACAGCATTTGATACCCAGCTCCCTGCTGTCAACATAAAAATAATAATAACAAGCCACTACATTCCTGTGCCTACCAAAGTTTTAAAATGCACCCGTAATATTGCCAGAGATTAAGCCAAACTTTTTCACAATAGGATCTGGGAAAGAAATCTCAAATTACACAAAGATAACTGCGGAATTTCAACCTGGGGACCGAGAAGCCTTTTCCATTTTCCCAAGCTCCTTGCAAACCACAACACTCCAGGATATCCTAAGGATTAAACATTAACTCGTGCAATCCCCTAGATGCGCATCCATCCCTTTTTTTTTTTTCCGTCCCCCGAAGTTAACCTAATCTGTGCCAGAGAAACGTCCTTTCCCAAGGAAAAAAAAAAATCTTCAGAAGCCCAATTTAATGGTACCTCCCTCCCTTCCTCCCCCCTCCCTCTGCCCAAGCCGCACGGAGGAGGACGGCTCGGTTTCCGCCAAAGGCACTCGTTTTTCCTCGGTTGGAGGGACATCCCAAATCCGACTTAGAGAAAGGACGCCCCCCACGGTCACCCCGGTTTAACTGGGGTGGGGGCGGGCGGGGATGCTCGGTCTGCTGCTCGGCGCTCACCGCGCGACCTCTAAGCAGGCCTGGAGCATTCGTGCACCCGGGAAGCCGCTGGTCGAGGCCGCAGCCCACCCGCACACCCGCACACCTGCCCGCACCCGGTCCCGCCCCCTCGGGCCGCGGGGGACACAAAGCGGCGGCGGCCGGGGCCGGGCGAGCCACCCCGAGCCGCGGCCGGCCCGACCTTGGCGTCGCCCCCGGGGGGCCCCGGGCTCACAAAGCGCCGCACTTCCGGCCGCGCCGCCGCCGCCGCCGTCCCCCCCCCCCAAAAAAAAATAACCAAAGACGAGGCAGCGCCGCGGCCCGGGAGGAGCCGCCCGCCGCGCGGGGTCCACCGGGACGCCCCCGCCCGCACTCACCGCGCCGCCCGCGCCCACCGCGACGGCCTGGACCTCAGGGAGCCCGCGCGCACCGGTCCCCGCGGCCGGCAGCACAGCAGCGGCTGGACACAGCGGACAGGACGAGCGCCGCCGAGCCGCCCGCCGGCCCCGCGTCTCCGCCGCCTCCCGCGCGCTCGGCCCGGCCCGGCCCGCCTCTCCGCAGCCCGCGCTCGACCCCGCCGACGCTGCGCAGCCACCGCCGGGAGCCGCCGACCTCACTTCCGCCCCGAGGCGCGCCGCGTCGGCGGCGGCGCGGGCCGCACAGAGCGGGGCGGGGGTGCGGCGGGGCGCGCGCGGGCACGTGACGGGCCGGCGTGCGCGCTCCCGCGGGCGGCCCGGAGGCTCCCGGATGCAAGTGCGCGCGCGGGAACCGGGCAGGACGCTGAGGTGCTGTTTTTTGGGTTGTGTTTTTTTTTTGTTTGGTCTGTCAATTTTTTTTTTTTTTTGCGCTCCTGTGGTTGACGAGTGCTAAATAAGTAAATAATGCAATAATGAAAGCTTTGCAGGACTGTCCTGTGACCGCGGTGGTCGCCAGGGACGCTTCCCCCAGCCTCCCTCGGTGCGGGGCTGCTTCTCCAACGCCCGTCCGTCCGCCCGCCACGCCGGGGGCTGCCTATTCTGTGGCGGCCTGGGCGTGAAGAGAGTTGGAATGCGCTGCTAGCGAGAGGCGGGAGAAAAGTCCTGGCCTCCAGGTCTCCTAGGGGTGCTCCCGGGGACACCCACATCCCACTCCCCCAGTGCCCCGCCTGGCCGGTGCCCATGGGTGGGTGTGCTTCCGTGGGAGTGAGCGCTTGCTGAACCCAGGGCCACCCCGCCTGGATCTCTGCTTCCAAAAGGAGCCTGGCCATGCACCATGCCCACCCCTGTACCACCCGGTAAAGCAGAGAGCAATTCTGGAACTACAATTGTAGCTGGAGAACCTTGATTTTGCCGACTCTTAAATTGCATAGCATTTTTCCCCCTTACCTTGCATGCATAGGACCTAGGTGCTTTTTTTTTAAGGGAGCGGTGACCTTTGCATAACATAAATGTATATTGGGAATGGGACCCAAGCGTAAACACGGAGTTCACTTGTATTTCGTGGATGCCTTATGCACGGAGCCTGAAGGTAGCGTGCACAACGTTAGTTGGTCGTGTTTGCGCATGATACGGAATGTTCCCCTGGTGACATGTCTTTGCAAACAAACTCTCTGATGTTGCAACCTTCTGGACTCCGAGTCATTGCATTGCTGATGCTCTACGTGCATCTGTACACACTCAGATTTTAGAGAAAATGTGCGCAGCTTTCAATCAGTACATTGCATTTTCCTGCGTACCTGTTAGAAGATAAATACTGCTATGATTTGATTCTCGTTTTTCCATTTCAAAAATACTTGGAATCAGGAAGGTGTTTCAGCAGTGAAGGCCTACACTGCGTGTCCGAGTACCTGGGTTTGAGGCTTCACTTTGCTTTTGATTCCAGTTTGCTGCTGGTGCCAGCCCTTGGAAGCAGCAAGTGTGGCTTGAGTCCCCTCCACTCAAAAGGGAGACTGGGTTGAGTGTCCTTGGCTAAGCCCTCACTGTTTTGGACGTGTTGACAATGAACCAGTGGAATGTAGATACCACTCTCTTACTTTGCCATACAAGGAGTTGGAAATAAAGATACCTAAAAAGAGGCAAAAGCCCTTAAAAATTGAAAAGCCTATACAAATAATAGAATTCATTAAGAAGTCAAAATTTTTTAAAAGTGTAGAACAATTCTGTAGCTGGGCCTGGGATGATGGCCTAGTGGCTACATCCTCACCTTGCATCAACTGAGATCCCATATGGATACCAGTTTGTGTCCCTGGCTGCTTCACTTCCCATCCAGCTCCCTGCCTGTGGCCTGGGAAAGCAGTAGAGGATGGACCAAAGCCTTGGGACCCTGCACCCACATGGGAGACCCGGAAGAAGCTGCTGGCTCTGCTGCAGCTGCTGCAGCGACTTGGGGAGTACACCAGTGGATGAATGCACCTCTCTCTCTCCTCTGTATAACTCTGCCTTTCCCATATAAATAAATAAATCTTAAAAAAAAAAAAATACCTACATAGTGGAAGGGAAAAAAATACATTTTATAAGACATTTATTCTAGGAAAAATAAATAACCAAATTTAATAGCATTCTGAATATGATACAGTGTTTACTTTCCTTATGTACAACTTTCATTTCACAGTACATATTTATGTATGTTATATATTTTAAAAATAGAATTCTGTGTGGATTATAAATAAATGTAAAGATAGACTGTGGGGGTAGACAATTCATGTAGCAGTTACCATACCACTTGGAAGGGCAGGCCTTGCAGCACAGGAGCTAAGCCACGACTTGGGGTAATCCCATGCCCTATCAGAATCCCTGGTTCAGCTCCCGGCTGTCCCACCTCTAGTCCTGCCTCCTGCGAGTGCACACCCTGCAAGGTAGCAGTTAATGGCTCCAGTGCTTGGGTTCCTGACAGCTGCAAGGGAGACCTAGATGGAATTCTTAACTTCAAGTATGTCTCAATTCTGGCTATTGTGGGTATTTGGTGAGTTCACCAGCAAAGGAAAGAGATTTCTCTCTCCCATTCCTTTACGAATAAATTTAAAGGAAAAAAATTATGTAAGAGCAACTACTTTAAAAAAGACAGGAAAAGATGCCCCCCTTGGAATGCCTGTGTGCTGGGTTTGAGTCTCAGCTCCGCTTCTCATTCTAGCTTCCTGCTAATACAGTAGGAGCCACAGGTAATGTTCATGGACCCAGGTTCCTGTCCCCCAGATAGAAGGCACAGACGGGTTGGAGCTATGGGTTCTTGATTTAAACCTGGGCCAGTCCTAGTTCCTGTAGGCCTTTGGGGAGGATCAGTCTCTGTACATTTCAAAATGAAAATGGAAATCAATAAATTAACATGCTTGTCAAAAAGAATTGAGTAAGATCTGCTTGAGTACAATTTTAAATAATCACCAAAGGTCACAAAAAGAACATTTAAGTGCACACAAAAGTTTGAACCAGCAGCTGCCATTCTGGAAGTTTGTCTTTAGAGAGGTTCACAGCTGTGTAAAATGGAATAGGTTTTTATTTGCATGGCACACACACTATTCAGTGCAGTGTTGTTTGTAGTAACAGAACTCTGGAGACAATTCTAGAATCCATTCCTAGGGGAATGATCAAATACATTGACTCATCCTTTCAGTGAAATGCTATATCTCTCAATAAAGACGTGAGAACGTTTCTATGTAGCAAAATGCAAAAAATATCTCCAAGGAGTTCAATGCAAAGCAATTCAGAGACAGAACTCTGAAAAAATGGACATGGGGGATGGGCACTTGGCACAGCAGTTAGGTGAGATGCTTGACAGGCCCGTGTCCCGTATCTGAGTGCTTGGTGCCTCTGCTCCTGTGCCAGCTTCCTGCCTTTGTACATCGTGGGAGGCAGCAGATGCTGACTCAAGCATCTGGGTTCCTGCTACCCATGTTGGGAGACTTGGATGGAATTCCAGGCTCCTGGTTTCCGGTCGTGGCTGCTGCAGACATTCAAAGCATAAACCAATGAATGCAAGATATCTTTGTGTCACACTTACCCGAGACTGTGTCTATCTTTTATTATTATTGTTTTTAATTGTATAAATTTTGTTTTTGATAATTTTTACATATTTGATTTTTACATATTTACATTGGCAAAGGCTAGAGAAAAGTGGGTGAAACCATTATTTGGGCATTATGTTTTTTTCCTTCCTGTATCTGGGGAGAGGGGAGAGATAAGAGGAGAAGCCACACCCAGCCTTCCAATTATCCCAGGGTCCATGATGTAGGGCATGCGCTGAGGGTCCTGCTCAAGTGATTTTGATAGTTCAATAGTTCTGAATTGCTGCCAATCTTGCCACTCCACTCACAATGAAATCTCTTCAGAATCTACTGGCTGACATAGTCCACCTTAGAGACTCCACTTGCCCAGGTATTCACTGCCAACCCTTGACTGGGGTAGTTGATTGACTTGTTCTGTCCTCCATCCTCTACTGTGGTACCAGCTGTCCTCTGCAGGCTCCAGTGTGCTGCCATATCCTCTATGTGTATCTGGATATGCTGTCCACTGCTTCATCTAAGCCACTGAGGGGACCCAGCTCTGACATATGCATTCCTTGATCAGATCATGGAATCTGTAATTTCCTCCATGGTTGGAGTTCTGAGTCCAGCAGTTCAGCTGGGGAAATTTCCAAAGAAAGTTCATCTGAGGTGCTCCCAGATCAGATTCTTGTATGTATATGCCATTACAGGGCCTGGCACAGTCCATCGCCCAAATTGGCCTACCCATGCACACTATTAGTCACAGTTGCTGGGTCAATTGTCTCCAGCCTTGTCTTCTACACAAACCAATGGGTGTTACAGTCCAGCCTGATCCTACCAACCACACATCTGTCCCCCACCGCAAACCAGTGGGAGCTGCAGCCTAGTCGAAGCAACCCGCAATAACCCCCACAGGCTCACCTCCTGCCCTGGTTCCTGTACTTGACAGTATGTGCTGCAGACTGGTCCAGTCTGTCTCACATCCTATTCAACTCTCATATGTGCTACATGACCTGTCCCATCCATCCTGACCTTTGTATGAGCTGGTGTGGCCCAGCCCACCTTACACCCTGTTTTACGGTGTTTATGTGGGTGCTGCAGCTGAACCTGTCCCACTTGTTCCCAGCCCCAGTACCAGTGAGCATCTGTGAGTTCCATGGTCATGCCTAGCTCAGCCCATCACCATCCCAACTCAAGCTAACCAGTGGGATTTATAGATCCATAGGGTTGAGCCCACATATTCCCTACAGAATTCAAACCCAGACCTAGTTCTTGTGTGTTGGTTGGTGTCATGGTCAAGTCTAATGTGACACATCCCCTGATCTGACACTCACTGTCAGGTACTAGGATCTAGTCCTGCCAAACAGGCCCCCAACCATAGCTTGTGTGTGCACTGGCGTGTGGTGATCAGCCGTGTTCCATGCTAACAAGCCCAACCCAGGACATCCATCAGTCTACCCCATAAAGATCTTCAGGTCTCTCCCCTCCAAACTACCAGGTCTCAGATTCCTCACTGCAAGTACAGTGGCCCTGTCGTTGGGTTCCCACAGGATTCATTCCTCAACTACACATACAGTGGCCTTACCCATGGATGTCCCTAGGCAGTAATTCCTTACCCCCAAGACCCCAGAGCTCACTGCCGGGCAGCTAGTGGGAAGAACCCAGAGCCAGTTGGTGCTTTGGCCACCAACAAGCCCAGGGCCCTCCCCACCACCTAGCAGCTGTGGATGGGGAGTTAGGATCTCCAGCAGGAAGAGTGGGCTGGCACTGGTACCCCCAGCCACAGCTACATGGCTGGGGGATCCAGGCACCCGCACCTCTACTCAGATTTACCTGGACTCCTGTATGTCTTTCAAATGAAAAAAAAAAAAAAGAATAAAAAAAATTTTTTAATTGGACCATGCAAACACATTGTCTATTATCAAATTAAATTCAAAATAAGAATCTGGCACATTGATTTAGTGGCTAAAACCTTACCTTCCATGCACCAGACACGAGTTCATGTCCTGGGTGCTCCACTTCCCATCCAGCTCCCTGCCTGTTGCCTGGGAAAGCAGTGGAGTTGGCCCAAAGCCTTGGGACCCTGCACCCACGTGAGAGACCTGGAGGAAGTTCCTGGCTCCTGGCTTCAGATCGGCACAAAACTAGCCATTGCGGCCACTTGGGGAATGAATCATCAGCTGGAAGATCTTCCTCTCTGTCTCTCCTCCTCTCTGTATATCTGACTTTGCAATGAAAATACATAAATCTTAAAAATGTACTTGTATGTCTTATCCTATCACCCTGTAAATGGTTGTGAAAGACAATAAAATAATACACTCATGCATGGATTTGTACAGAAGTTTGTAGCAGTTTTGGAAAATGGTTAAACTTTGATATTCTTTTTTTGTAAGATTTATTTATTTATTGGAAAGTCAGATATACAGAGAGACACAGAGGAAGATCTTCCGTCTGATGATTCACTCCCCAAGTGAGCGCAACGGCCGATGCTATGCCAATCCAAAGCCAGGATCCAGGAACTTCTTCTGGATATCCCACACAGGTGCAGTGTCCCAAGGCTTTGGGCCGTCCTCGACTGCTTTCCCAGGCCACAAGCAGGGAGCTGGATGGGAAGTGGAGCTGCTGGGATTAGAACTGGTGCCCATATGGGATCGAGGTGCATTCAAGGCGAGGACTTTAGCTGCTAGGCCACACTGCCGGGCCCTAAACTTTGATATTTTGGGGCCACTGATCGAAGACAGTGTATGTACCTTTGGCAATTGGACATCAAGAACAAAGAGCATACGTTCTCAGACTATGCTTTGTTCTTACCTATGCCCTACAGGTGCTTCCCGTCTACCATACCTGTCTGTGGGCAGACTGGAGACCACTGCGCCCCCGCCACCTCCCTTCCAGGAACATCACGTCACAAAGTTTAAATCCATCATGGCAGAAACACTAGGACACTCACCTGCTGATACTGATCAGGTTTTGATTTATGGTTTGTTGATTTTTTTCCAGGATTAAAGAGATGATAGAGGAAATAAGACTGAAGATTAAACTTGCAAGTAATGTCTAAAGTGATCACACTATGAATAGCTTAGATTTTTAGGAAACTTTGAAGCTAGTTCAGTGGTGCAACAGGCTCAACCTCCACCTGTGGTGCCAGCATCCCATATAGGTTTCACTTTGAGTCCCTGATGCTCTCTCTGCTTCTGACTCAGCTCCCTGCTGATGGCCTGGGAAAGCAATGGAGGATGGCCCAAGTCCTTGGGCCCCTGTACCCATGTGGGAGATCCGGAAGACGTCCCTGGCTCTTAAGACAAGCCCACCTCCATCACTGATGGCAACTGGGGAGAAAACCAGCAGAAGATCTGCGTCTCTCTGTTAAATAAAATAAATACATTTCTTACATTATGTAGTAAATTTTATATTCTTTAAAGACGTATTTATTTATTTATCTGGTTAGTTAATTAATTATGAAAAGCAGATTTACAGACAAAAGGAGAGACAAAGATTTTTTTTATTCCCTGGTTCACTCACCAAATGGCTGCAATGCCCAGAGCTGAGCCGATCTGAAGCCAGAAGCCAGGAGCTTCTTTTGGGTCTCCCATGTAGGTCCCAGGGTTTTGGGCCATCCTCTACTGCTTTCCCATGCCATAAGCAGGGAGTTGGATGGGAAGTGAAGCAGCCGGGATATGAACTGACACCCAAATGGGATGCTGGCACTGGCGGGCAGAGAATTAACCATTTGAGCCATCATGCCGGGCCCCTCTATGACTTTTTGGATTCTTTCCAGTTGAGTGGCAAGATTGCAGTTCCAAGTCATGATTGCTTTGTCAGTTTGCCCAACGCTCATCTGGGAGTGGCAGAACCAGGGAGAATCCCAAATTTTTTCACAATCTCTGAACTCTCATTCTGACTCTAAAAAACAAACAAACAAACCAGAACAATCTTATTTATATATTGGAAAGGCAGAGTGTTAGAAAAAGGGGAGAGGTGGAGAAAAAGAGATCTTCCATCTGCTAGTTCATCATCCAAATGCCCACAACAGCCTAGGCTGGGCAAGGCCGATGCCAGGGCCAGGAATGCCATCTGGGTCTCCCACAAGCATGGCAGGAACCCAACCATTTGGACCTTCCCCTGCTCTCTCCCAGGTGCATCCAAGGAGCCAGATCAGGATCAAGGAACTGCCAGGACTGGGATCACTCTACTGCGGGGGGCAGGCGGTCCAGATGAACCTGCCGGGCCACCCCACTGCCCTCTGTGTTCTTTCTCCAGAGTCCTGCCTGGCCATCCCACTGTGCTCTGTGCTCTTTTTCCAGAGAGGAGCTGGGTTCAAATGGTGGCCTGACTGATGGATAATGGGCAGGCTGCCCCTAGCCTTTTGTTTTCTTTAGAGTTCTTCCTTTTGAAATTAGATATGCTTTATATATAAAAGCACATGAAACTGAAGTGTTCTGACACGTAACTGTGACTTATTATGCATATACACGCATTAGTCACATCATACCTGGCATTCCAAGAGTCTTGCCACACAGTACTCCCATTCCACTCCTGGAGACCCCACAGGAACTTAAATGCATCTAAACATTTAGCAGCAAAGACCAATAGTGCTGCCTTTTCTCCTTGCCTTGTCTCTTTTAAAAAAAAGAAAATGTTTCCTTTGGGAGTCATTGCAGATTTAGAGAAAAACTATGATGACAGTTTGTCCTTCTCCTGATGTTGACATCTTACATAATGTCAACGCCCTTGTCAAGAGCGAAAGTTACTAGTAATTACTATTTACCAAGTTCAGAATTTTACTTGGAACTGACAATTCTTTTTTCCACTTACTATTCCTTATTTTGTTTCAGGATTCTATCCAGAACAGCACAATGCATAGGACAATTTCTAGGTCTTTTTGGGGTTTTTTTTTTTAAGATTTATTTTATTTGCATTTGAAAGACAGGAGAGAGAGAGAGAGAGAAAAAGAGAGAGACAGCAATGACCAGAGCTGGGCTGATCTGAAAGCAGGAGCCAGGAAGTTCTCCAAGGTTTCCCACATGAGTGCAGGGTCCCAAGGTCTTGAGTCATCCTCTGCTGCCTGCCCAGGTCCTCAGCAGGAAGCTGGATCAGAAATGAAACAGTTTGGAGCATGAGCCAGCACCCACATGGGATTCTGGTGCCACAGGCCAGGCTGCTGCCCTTCAGCCTTTTCTTGTTTTTGATGAATTTTTAAAAGATGTATATATTTGAAAGGCAGACTTAGAGAGAGACATACACACAGAGGAGAGAATATTCTGTGTGCTGGTTTTCTCCCCAAATAGCTGCAATGATCTGGCTGGGTTCGTCCAAAGGCAGAAGCCTGGAGCTTCTTCCAGGTCTCCCATGTGGGTGGGTGCAGGGGCCCAGTGGCTGGGACCATCTCTGTGCTTGGCCAGGCACAACATGAGGAAACTGGATCAAGAAGTAGAGCAGCTGGGCTCGAACTGGCACCCAAGCGGGATGCTGGCGCCACAGGCAGTAGGTTTACTCGCTACGCCACAATGCATTCTGGAGAGGTATTTATGGTACACCCCTCCAACGGAATTTGTCTGCTGTTTTTCTCACACTTACACTGGCATTATGATGTTTGGGGAGAATGACTAGCGGGGCAGTGCCATTATCATCACATTTTATCACGGGAAAGGGCTACCGGCATATCTAATCCCTGTTGCTATGCACCTTAGCACCTGACTGAGGTTGTGTTTGTTGGCGTCCTTATCAGAGACCTTACTTTCCCTCTTTTTCCACACTATACATTAGAAAGGAAATCACTATGCATTGGGTGGGTTGGGATTCCCCACGGGGTATTGTTACTAAGTACATTCTTCTGTAGGGAATATTTATCTCCCGTTGCTCATTGATTCAGGGAATCACCTATTTCTATTGACACAGACTCAAGTGGGTTCTACATTCTAGACCACGATCTGATCCTGTGATTAGCATCCGTTCTGGGGGCTCGTTCAGAGCGGTGGCTTCTTACTTCTGGCCTGCAAGATGTGCCAGGCTTTGCTCGCACTTGATGAAGTCCAGTGCTTCCCTCACCCACTTCTCTAAGGAGCCCTGGCACTTTCATTAGAGATTGGAATTTATTATTTATTTGAAAGGCAGAGAGAGAAAAGTTTCCGATTCATTGATTCGTTCCTCCAAATACCTGTCAGTCATTGATAGTGGGCCAGCCAGACGTCAGGGAGCAGAGACAGGAACTCAACCCAAGTCGCACTCAGCGGTCACCTGCCTGTCCCAGGCCTGTCCTGCTGAGCCTTTAGGAGCGCCTGACATCCCGCCAAGACTACAACTCCCGGCATACCCCGAGCACCTTGCGCACGCGCAGCTGGCGGTGACGTCCGGGCGGCGCCCAGGACGCTGGACGTGCGGCAGTGGGAGCTTAGGAAGCCGAGCGGCGCGCGTCCTTGCCCTACATCCTCGGTGGGTGCTCGGCGGTCTCTGCTTTCCCAGGTGACTGTGGCAGTCCGTGGGGCGACCCTCAGCTATCCCGCTGCCCGCCCGGCCCCGGTGCCCCGGCCCCGGTGTCCCGGCGCCCCCGCCTTCGCTGCCCTCCCTCCGTGCGGACCCCCTGGCTCTGCGGCCGTCCAGGCTCCGGGCTGCCCGCTGTCCTCTCAGGCTCCGAGCCCTTCCCGAGGGCCCCCTTCCCGGCTTCTGCCTCCCTGTGCTGTCCCCTCCGACGGGCTGCGCCCTGGGGGCCGAGGTCCTCCCGCACGCCGGTCTCTTGGGGGGAGGGTTGGTGTTCCTGCCGGCGAGAGGTCGCCCCCTTTGCTTGGAAGTCCGGGGTGGCCTTGGAGAGCTCCGCACTCGCCCATCCCCCGCCGCCGAGCTCCTTGCACCTGCTTGCTCTGAATCTTGCAGTTAGGTGCTTGCCGGATAACGGTATCTCCGTGTATCTCTTTTCGCGTTTGTTTTTCCTACACGCAGCTCAAATTAAGAACTGCGCAGGCAGGGATTTCTGTTTTCGTAAATCTCAAATGTGGAAGCGGTTCCACCGTGTGGAAGAGACTTCATAAATAAGCCAGTGGGAAGTTTTCTGCTGTTTGGAACTAGGAAAGGAATGAGACAAAAAAAAGTCAGGGGTGGGGTGCCTGGGCTAGTTCTGGCTCTGCTCTGAGCTCCAGCTTCTTAGTGTTCTGGAGGCCCTTGTAGGCACGTGGCCATCACGGCCTGGAGACCCGCTGGGCGTTCCTGGCTGAAGCTGCAGCCCAGCTCTGGGCGCAGTAGACAACTGGGGGAGTGAACCAGCTCATGGGAGCTTGCTCTTTATCTATCAAATAAATATTTTTGAAAAAGATACATTATTTGTTTTAGAGGTAGAGTTGCAAAGAGGAGGAGAGGCTGAGAGAGGAGAGCGTGAGAAAGCGACAATCTGAGTCTTCTGTCTGCAGGTTCACTCCCCAAATGGCTGCACCGACCTGAACTGGGCCAGGTGGAAGCCAGGAACCAGGAGCCTCACCTGGGTCTTCCACGTGGGTACAAGGAGTTGGATCGGAAGTAGAGTAAGCAGGACTCTAAAAGGCTTACCTTACCTTACAATGTATGCCCCCTAAGGAAAGTTTTAAAAAATGAATTGAAGGTAGCATTAAAAGAAGAATCTACGGGGACATGATTGATACACAATGCCCTTGATTTCCTCCCTCCAGAGAAACCTTCAGCATTCTTTGTTGCCTCCCTTTTGGCTGGGAAAGCACTTCCTTCTGAGGAAGAAAAATTCCCCGTCTCCTGTGGTCCATGAAGGGAACCCCAGTGCAGGAAGTGACAAGTCCCGAGTCACATGAGAGTGAGGTCTGGGCTGGTGACTCCACCACGTTGACTCACGGCCCTCAATGTTTGCTGAACAAATTCATGGGCGCAAGGTGAGCCCAGGCACTCCCGGGGCAGCTATCTTTAGGAGGCTGCTAACCCTGGGCAAGGAAAAGATTGTGGGACCCGGCTGCTGATTCCTCTGTGGTAGAGAGAGCTCTTCCTTCGGATCCAGCTCCCCTCCCATTGTGCTTGCTGAGGGCAGGGATGCAGTGTGTTCCATGCTGTGCACAGTGGAGCGTCTGGCAGGTGTTGTGGTTGGGAATTTCTTCCTGAAAAGACTGCAGGGAAGCTCTCTGGATCTAACAGTGGTTCTGCACTGGCATCCTGTGGCAGGGGTGTTCGCCTCTCGTGGCAGTAAATTCCCTGGCCGTCTCTAGGTGTGAGTTCATGTGAAGTCTGTACCGCAGTGGCATAGGAAGAAGGAGTAATCCCGTTCTTGTACCAATACTGTTGTAGGGAAAAATGGGGGTGTTTTTCCTACTCTGACGCCTTCCAGTGCTTCTTAGCTTGCATTATTATTTTTTTTTGAAGATTTTTGGTTATTAGAAAAACAGATTTACAGAAATAAGGGGAGACAGAAAGCTCTTTCATCCACTACTTTACTTCTCCAATGGCTGCAACAGCTGGGACTGTGCCGATCCAAAGCCAGGAGCCTGGAGCTTCTTCTGGGTCTCCCAGGCAGGTGCAGAGTCCCAAGGCTTTGGGCTGTCCTCTGCTGCTTTCCCGGGCCACAGGCAGGGAGCTGGATGGGAAGTGGAGCAGCTGAGACACAAGCTGGCACCCATAAGGGATACTGGCACTTGCAAGGTGAGGATTTGGTCACTGAGTCATCACGCTGGGTCCCTCTACATTAACTTTTTTGAAAGGTTTTTATTTTTATTGGAAAGGCAGATCTACACAGGTAAGGAGAGAGAGATCTTTCACCCACCAGTTCACCACCCCCCCAGTAAGCTACACAGCTGGAGTTGAAGCCAGGAGCCAGGAGCTTCTTCCAGGTCTCCCATGTGGGTGCAGGGGCCCAAGGCTTTGGGTTCAAAGCAAAGGACCAGCTTCCTGCTTTCCCAGGCCTCAAGCATGTAGCTGGATGGAAAGTAAAGTAGCTGGGACATGAACTGGCAGGATTCCGATGAGTGTAGATGGAGGATGAACCAGTTGAGCCATCGCACGGGCCCATGCATGAATGTTCACTTTCTGTCTCCCTTCATCCACCTTTATCATACTGGATATTGACAGAGTTAGAGAATTGCTATTTTCTGGTGTAACTCCTTGAGAGCACCAATAGTAAATTATTAAGCATGTTACAGAGAGGGACCATTTTTTAAAAAAAAGTTTATATTTATTTGAAAGATATACAGAGAGGAAGATAAGAGAGGAACCATTTTAACAAATGATTGAACTGGGTTCCTAGAGTGATAGGGTGAGAGAACATGTTCCAGTCCGTTCCCTAGGCACTCACAGCGGCCTGGAGAACTGGGCTGTGGGTCGCCTGGAGCTGTGGGTCCCCTGGAGCTGTGGGTCGCCTGGAGCCCTGGGTCGCCTGACACTTCTGTCACGAATATGTCGGAGTTTCTGTTTGTACGTAACTGTCCTTGAGAACAGGGAGAGTCTTCCTCTTTTTTTGTAAGGAAGTAACTTTTACAAGTAAAGCAAGAGAGCTGCTGCCAGAACCACTGGGATGTGCCGAAGGAGCCAGCTGATTTCCAGCTCTTGAAATGAGCTAAAGGGCCCTTTGCACCTGTCTCCCTGAGGTTTCCCAGTTGCCGCATGAGGTAACTGGTTGTGTGTCAGGATTCAGGTAAGCAAACCCGGGCTTCAGGAGGTTAGGATCTCGCCCACGGTCGTGCCAGGGAGGAAAGAGGTGTGTTCCGTGCTCAGAAGGCTCAGATTCAGAAGGACGGGTTTTCCGAATTTGCACACAGTGCTTTTAAAGTGATTTGAATTCACATTTCAGCAAGGTTTGACTTGCTGGATATGGTTTATTCTGTGAAGCTTTTTGTAGTTTTTATTGGCAGGGAAGTAACGGGAGTGGTTTGCAGTTTGCATGCTAGTATTTTATCCTTAAAGCTGGCCGATGCGTTTTAACTTTATGCGTTAGGTCTGCTCCGGGGTATCAGTTGTGCAGTGCTAAAGTAAGTTTGCTGGAGTTCTCTGGAATTCAGTCCGCTAAAACAAAGAAGCAAAGATATTTCTGTTCCTTCAGAAGATTGTTTATGCGTTTTAGAAGGTTTTTGTCTTTTTCTTCTGAGATAAGTATCTTGGAATTTTGCCCTCAAAGGGCATTTTAACTTTCTACATCTGCTAAGCTGTTTGGGAACAGCGTGATGTGTTTGTTTCTAAGGGAATGTGTTGGGCAAGTGTGGTCAGGTGGCTAGAGAATGGTGGTGGTAGTGGCAGTGATAAATGCCGTGGAAGCAGCTGCCACGGAGTGAGTTTTAGTAAATGTCAGCTCCCAAATACATAAACATTTTATTAACCGATTTTCGTTACGTCTTATCAGTAGGTGATGGTATTCTTATTTTACAGATTCAAATATTAGGGCTTGAAGAAAAGAGTTTGGCCAAGGTAATTTGTAACTGCCTTGGTCTTTTGGCTCCAAAGTGTCTGCTTATAAATATTAGGTTCTGTGAATTCTAAAGCATGAGTGGTATTCAGTTGCTAACGATACATTCCTCTGTCTGCTTCCGAGACAAAAATAAGAAGTTTTTGAGAAGAAGCGTTTTAGGTAGGTAGACACCATCTAGGTTGGGATTTTGTCTTTTGCTGTGTTTGAACATAGTTTCAAGTGTTGTTTGCAGGCTTACATTTATCAAAATAACACGTGTAAATATTGAAAAACTAAACAGAACTTGAACTGCTGATGATGGCCAGTCCTGGGCCGGGATGAAGCTAGGAGCTGGGAAGTCAGTCTAGGTTTCCTGCTTGGGAGGCAGGAAGCCAGTTGTCTCACCTGTCACGTCTGCAGGGGAAGCTGGAGTTAGGAGCTGGTGCCGGCACTCACCCAGAGGCCCAGAGGTGGGTGCCCTAGCCAGCACCTTCACGGCCAGGCCACCTGGCCATCCCACGCTATGTATTACTTTCACTAGGTTCTGGTAAGGGGACACAAGGGAAATAATTCTTACGACTTAATTGTTTTGATTTGAAAAAATTTATTTATTTGAGAGACCGCAAGAGTTCCCATCTGCTGGTGCTCTCCCCAAATGCTGGGCCAGTCACACCTAGGAGTTGGGAATTCAGGGCAGGTACCCGAGCCCTGTGGGGTGTGTATGAGCAGGAAGCTGGCATTGAGACTAGTGCCAGCACTGAATCCTAGGTGCTGGTAATGGAGTCGGAATTCTCGCCCCGCAGGGTTTCCTCTAAGCATGGCTGATCAAAACGCCCAGTGCCTGGCTGACCCTTTTTTTCATCTTTGGGAAGATTTTAGGTTGTGTTCTTTGTCCTTAGTGCGCTGAAATTCCACGGTCTGGTGCCCTGCTGGGGATCGTCCACAGTTCTTTCTGGTGGTTGGAGTTTAGTGAGCCTAGAGCTGTGTCCTGTTCTGGGGAGTGCTGGTGTTCAGGATTCTCCCCCTTTTCTCTGTGATTTGTTCATGAAGCTCCTGTAAGTAGAATGTTTTCTGTCCCCTTGCCCAGCGCAGGAGTCCAGGA